TGGTGGGCGGTGGAGGAGGGGGTGGTGGAGGAGGCGGTGGTGGAGGGGGCGGTGGTGGAGGGGGGCGGTGGTGGAGGTGGTGGAGGAGGCGGTGGAGGAGGCGATGGAGGAGGTGGTGGAGGAGGCGATGGAGGAGGTGGTGGAGGAGGCGGTGGAGGAGGCGATGGTGGAGGTGGTGGAGGAGGCGATGGTGGAGGTGGTGGAGGAGGTGATGGTGGAGGAGGTAATGGTGATGTGACAGTGGCGCTGTTGTGAAACAGGACACACCTGCTTCTTATCTGACTATGAGTGTCCCTTTCACAGGCCACACCATCTGAGTAACTGACATGCCAGCCATCTAGCCTCAGAAACCTGACCTTCCTACAACTCAGGGACTTTACTTCTCCAGAGACACTAGTTTCTCTGGTGTGTGTGTGTGTGTGTAGGGTTGTGTGTGTGTGTGTGTGTGTGTGTGTGTGTGTGTGTGGGATCTAATGAGTAATGCCCAACTATGTGCAGAGTGACCCTACATTAAGAACTTCTTGCCCCAAAGGTAGCAGCCCTGAGGTCACTTAGACTAGACCGAGATTTCCTATTTTGTCTTCTGTTTCCCATGTGATACCCACAAAGGTTTTTTTTTTTTTTTTTTACAAGCACCCAGGTAGGAGAAAAGGTGACTCTTGTCCCTGGAACCTTGGCTAGGAAGGCAGAAGTGCTCACCAGTTCCAACCATTTATTCCTCCAGAGTTGAGACCTCCACACAGGAGTCATCCTGAAGGAATGCCTATGAACACCTGAAAAGACCAATAGGATCCAGACGCACTTCTTTGAATCTTGCTCACAGGGTGCTGTGGGTAGGGAAGGAACTGTGGTACCATTAAAAGGCAGGCATCACGGTGCCAGACCAGAAGACAGTAGGATGGGTCTTACCTCACGCTCCAGGTAGGACTTGAGTGATTCAGTCTCATTGAGCAGGGTAACACTGCATTTGCCCCTGGAAGAGAAGAACAGGTAAGAGAAGGAAGGGCAGGCAGCAGGATACCAGGTAGGGGCCCCAAGAACTACCTGATATGGGTGGCAGGCAGTGACTCCAACTGCCGAGAGAGGAACAGTTCCCGATGCCGCAGCTGATGCTTAAGTTTCTCAGGCAGGTCCACCATTTCTGGGTTCTCTACCTCTTCCTCCACTTCCCCTAGAGGACAAAGAGATCCTTTCAGTCATCCCTGAAGATGGCAGATGAGAGCCCTGGCTCCCCAAGCTAGCTCTCCCTGGTACAGGGCACCAAGCACAGGAGGGCCACTTTCCTGCCTAGCATATCTCCTGCCCATTTCAAGGTGGCTCAGGAGCTCTGGGCAGGTTCCCACAGATACCCTGGAACCCTGGAATATAGGGCTCAGCATCAGGATAGGAGGAGGAGGAGGACAGTGTTCAAACTGGCCTCAGAAGCAGCAGGCAGAGAGAGGCAGGAAAAACATGGGCACACTACATGTTCAGGACAGGAGGTTTCATCTACCAGCCTGAGGCCGGATGGCCCTGCACAAAACACAGTAGATTTTCTGCACTAGCAGGACAACCCCTTGAGGCCTGGGCTATAGCCAAGACCGGGCTACAGACTGAACACAGGGAACCCCAGCCCTCAGCCGGCTGGCAGGGCATACGGGGATGGGCATGCAGGCAGCCCATCCAGGATATATCCACTTGTGCGACGCCCGCCCCAGCCCAGGGACAGACGCGAGGACACCCTCCTTGCAAAGGTCGGCTCTTACCTTCCTCGCCGGTGTCCGCCCCCGGTCCGGCTCTATAGCAGACTGACAGGGCTACATAACAGACAGACAGCGCCCAGATGGCAGGTTAGGGCCAGTGCCAGCGCTTGCTCCCTGCCCAGGGCCCGGACCGAGGAGACATGGGGGCCACAGGCCTCCCAATAGAGGACAAATACCACCCAGCCAACGACTACCTGTGTCTCCTGACTGTTCCAACATTCAGGCCACCCACCCAAGACCCATCCCTCTTCCAACTACTGCCTAAGACCTTTTATGAGTGTAACTCTTGCCTGCCCCAACAAGAACACTCACACACATTCCACCAATCAGGTCCTAGCTCCTACCTAACGGCAAGTACAGGAGCCAGAGGCTTCCAGACAAGATTGCCCAGAGAAGGGCAAGAAAACCACAGGACAGCAAGTGGAGTGACTACTGGGAAAAGCCCAGGCTATACCAAACATCAGGTGGTTTGGCTATTGTCCACTACCCTGTATCAACAAAATACTCTTTTATCTATCCCAGATCCCCAAATTGGGGAGTATGGAATAGTGTGCACAATGAAAGCCCAGACATGCCTAATGTGTCCAGCAGGGGGAGAGTCCTGCCAACACCCACAGCTCCAAAAGCCTGCCAGACATGGCTGCTCTCTGTTGCCCCCATGTGGTGACTGCAAGGTATTCTGGCAATTTTGGGAGGGGAATCCCTAGCTTTAGGCACTTTAGATGGAGGCCAGGGCTGGGAGATTTGTTCTCAGTATGACTGGGCCCCAGGAGCCTGGGGCATCTCCATTGAGCTATTTTCCTACCAAACAAGGCAGGCAGGTCTGTTCAGAGCAGCTCCTGCCCAGAAGATAAGAGCTATGCACACACATCATCTAGAAACTGAGATGTCATAGTCACATAGGTTGGCTTTTGTGCACACCCACTGTGCATTATATAGTACACAGGGATCATAGCCACACCCTCACTGTAGGGCCTGTGGGCTGCATCAACGCCAGGTTCCAGGCACAGTCCCCCACAGACCTGACAGGCACCCTTATCTCTTCTAGCCCTGGAGCAGAACCAGACCCCATCACAGCTACCATGCACAGCCTCTGGCTCCAGCTCTCCCTAGAGATCTTTCAAAGGACATCTGAATGCAGATAAGGCAACCCATATTCTAAGCAACTCCCTCCCCCGCCCAGAAGCACCAGCTCTGGGCTCCCATGCTACCTCCAGTCTCTCTCCTAAGCCCTAACTTTGCTCTGGAGGGTACTGGGTAGACGCCAGGCCACACTTCCCTCTGTGGACATCTGGAAGGGGTTCCTCCTATGGATGCATCACAAGCTACAGGGTCTGTTTTCCCATCTGCGGGCAGTGCTTGGGCTAGATACCCTGGTAGGGTACCAACTGGGAAGCCAGAGGCTCCTGGACCACAAGGCAGGTCACTATCTGGGTCTCCTGTGTAATGTCTGTAGAACCAGCTGTGTGGGCCCTGGCTACAGGAGGCAGTCCCAGGGAATGGGGCACTTGGCATTCACAGGACAGGCCAAGAAGTCAGCCAGCAGACCCTAGTACCCTTGATGACTGCCTCCTTGGCTTGATGAAGCTCAGAGGAGGCCTGGCCAGAGATGCCCCATGCAGCTTTTCTGGGAGCAGAGTGTGGAGGCTCTGTAGACTCCCTCATTCTGGAAGGCCCTCCACACTGAGGTAAACCTCCTGAGACTCTGAGTCTTCACACCATACACCCTCCTTCAGAGAGACAGCAGCACCTCGGGGCATCTAGACAGCAGAAGTTCTGACTGCAGTGGTCCTTAAAGTAGGTCACTCCTTCTAGCAGCCCATTCCCTTCTCCTGTGGTGGACACAAGATGACTCCAACTTTACTGCAGACTTGAAACCCACATCCGCAGGCTACAACCATGCCTAACATTTACATAGCATGAAGCATATGCACCTATAGGCCAGAGCATAGGCTTTGAGGTCAGAGGTCAAGGGAGCCTGACTTTGTATCCAAAAGGGCTCCAGAGATGGTCCAAGATGAGAGCTGCATTTTCATTTGAGAAGCAAAAACAAAGGGCCATAATGCTGTGCTATCATGTCCCTCAGGGATGCCTACAGGATGACAAGAACTGCATAGCTAACCCTACTCTAAAGTCAGCTCTAGCTCCTCCTTGTTCCTCCCTAACCTAGTCCCAGAGCTGGGGAGGACAGCTAGTGCTAGACACCCTGTCTCTCAAACACTCCTGCTTGGGGTAGGTTTCCAGGGTTCCCATCTGACTGGCTGTCACCACAAGGATATTCTGGTTCCTTCAACCCTACTCCCACCAGTTAGAAGTGAGGATGATGGAGTATGGGCACACAAGTGCTACAAGTGGGCTTGAGCCCTTTACCCAGCAACCAAGAGTCAGGAACAATACCTATTGAACTACTGATGGAAAAGTACCCTCCTGGGTGGACAGCCCAGGCAACTCGGCTCCTCCCCTGCTTGGAGAAAGCACTCACAGTAACCACAGCCTTACGGTTCCCAGGCTCAGGCAGAAGCCCTGGATGAAGGGCTCAGCAGTTGTCCAACATTCACACAGACCTGCTCCAGTCAGGATTCCCAAGCACAAAATATCAGTGGTCTATGTGGGTCTGTTTCAGTGAGATGTCAGACCCTAAGCATGGGGACCAGGTCAAGGTCCCAGTAGGGAGGAAAAGCACCCTTGGACCATGCTTATTAGACTTGGGCTTGAGTTCCCTTGAGCAAGGAGGAAGGTCTTTGATTCTGAAAATATTACTGAAAACACAGTCATCTTCCAGTGAAAGGAAAAATAAAAGGAAAATAAGCTATCTCAAGGGCCAGACAGTCACTACACCCAGTACCTTCCTTATTATCTGTCCCACGGGTCTGAGCCAGGTGCCAGGTATACCAACATCTGTGCATGGGGCAAGAAGCACGAAGAGGAATGTTGCACCCTAGTCCATGATAAGCAGGATCTGAGAGGATGATGCACTAACACAGGGCAATAAAGGTGTCACCAGAATCCAGCTACAGACAGGACAGCAAAGAGCAGGCCAGCAGAACGGCCTCAGTGAGGCCAGGACCCAAGAGTAGGCACTGAAGGGGACAGGTATATCACCCCAGGGGAAAGGCTGAGACTCACTTGCATGCTTGTCGGCCAGGGCGATGAGGCTGCTGGATATGTCTCGCCTTCTGTAGAAACACACCACCTTGGCCTCCACATTCCCGTTGGCTGTCTGTAACAGCAAGGCAGAGATAGCTGAGCAATGCAGACCCCAAAAGGGACCTCAAGACAAGACCAAGTCTCCCAAACAGAAACGTTCAGAAGAAAATGACAGATCTCCAATACCTAAGAAGGAGTGAACTGAGGACAGCCATAGCTCTGAAACACCCAAAGTCAGGTAAATGTGACCAAACGGGAATGGACACTAGACACATAGAATGATTGCCCCATCCAATGACCTGGGCTTACGAGAGTCCACATTGCCAGTCAGGGGCTCCACCAAGACAGTGGCGGCCTTGCCTGATTTACCAGAAATCCTAAGGACAGCCCTGCTACAGACTGCAGTCACCCTCCTTCCGTTCTAGGTCAGGCTTCAACACTGTCACAGCGCTGCTAGCAGCAGAGACTCAGTCTACCACTTGGACCCACATGACCAACAGGAACCAGCAAGGTGAGGCCTTGAGTCAACTGCGTGCCTCCACCTGGGCTGCTGTAACACTCCGCATGGTAGCCTTAACAGAGAATACTATATAACTAGCCAGGGCTCACACAGATGCTAAATAATGCAGGGCACGTCTGTAATCTCAGCACTTGAGAGGCAAGGGCAGGCAGTCTTCTGTGTGTTGAAAACCAGCCTGGTGAATTCCAGGCAAGTCAGGACTATACAGTGAGGCCACGTCTGAAAACTAATATTAACAATAAAGGTACTATGTTGTGAGGTTATAACCCTGGCTAATGGAGATGTATATATTACTATGCTCTACACAAGGTGTCTGTCTCCTCACTCCTGTTTATCCACCCTGTTCACTTACTTACATTGGCATGGTCTGTGGTCACCTGCTATATCTAGAGCCATCATCCAAGAGAACTCTATCCCTCCTGTGCTCAGGTCAATCTTCTACGGCCACTGGGGTCTCCCTGGTTGGCTCTTGTATCTGACAAACCTCACCGTGGTGAAGCAGCTCATAGTCTGAAGCATCAACACTCAACAGTGAGTCCTGCAGTGACAATAGCCGCACCCCAAGATAGCCACTTGGGCTGACTTCCACAGGTTCTGACAGTTACTGTAGGCCAGAGCTCACTTTGGATCCAGCCCAATACTATTATACATCTCCCAATTTGGTATTTTAATGCTGTTCCACATTCATACCCTGACTTTATTCTTTTTCTGTCGCTAAGCTGTTGCTTTGCTAGAGTACCTTAAGGGAGAAAAGAACTTAGCCTGGCTCATAGTTCCATATTACAGCCCTCCATGACAGCAGTCTCAGGCTCCTTCCTCTCCATTCCTCAAATCCACGTTCATTTACATTTACTTAGCTTCCCACTCAACTGTGTATCATGGAATCCCCTCAACAGCTTACAAGTGGGGTCTAGGAACAAATGTCCAGCTCTGATCATTGGAGACACTCCCACATCATCTTCATGGGTGACTTAAGCTGGGATAACTCTTAGTACACCCAGGATGACGGCCTGGACACAGGGTTAGTATGACTTTCCTTCTGCATGGACATGGAGAATGCAAAGTGCAGATGTGTGCTCATGCAATCTGCTTTCTCTCTAAATTTAGAGTTTGGTGTTTTGTTTGTTTGTTTTTTTTTTTTGGTTGGGGTTTTTATTTGTGACACGGTCTCACTATGTAGCCCTAATTTGACTTGAACTTACTATGTAGACCAGGCTGGTTTCAAATTCAGAGTTCCACTGCCCCTGTCTCCAAAGTCCTGAGATTAAAGGCACCTACATCCACCACCCAAAGCCCTCTCTCTCATGTTCTGAATGACAAAACACACCCAAGAAGACCCTCCGTTCGGTCCTTATTCCTTAGATCACGCGTTGGGCGACTCGTTTCCTTAATTCCTTCTACATAGGTGTTGGATTTTGAGATTGTCTCTGGTTTTCTGATTTGTGTCACTATTCTTGTTCTACTTCCTAGAAAGTATCCTCAATTGTCACCAATCTTCCTTCTCTGTTTTCACTTCTAGAAGTTTGTGCTCATTTTGGGAGCTTCTCTCACTTTGTCCCTGGTCAAGTGCCCATACTTGGTACTTTCTCCTCCTTCCTGAGGTCCTGGACTGTCCCCTACACTAGCAGTTCCTTTTCAGCTTAGCTCCATGTTCATGTATACACTAATGTTGCACAGCCTCTGGAGGCCAGGAGTTTCTTATCATTAAAGGTACTACTTGCCTTTCCTCTGTAACAGGGTCCTGAAGCAATTGCACATGTGTTGAGCATGCTAGCTGTGGATGGCAGCCAGGGATATCAGGCAAGTCATACTGCCTTGTTAACTTCATGTGTTGAGGGGTGAGACCTAGAGTACCTCTCACAGACTATGGAGACCATAGGTATGTATGGTCTACCATAGAGGTTCATACCATACCATAGAGATCCAAGACCAAGGCCAAAACAGAAGCCCAGATAGAAGCCCCATCCTTCTTTTTTTTTCTTCCAGAGACAGGGTTTCTCTGTGGCTTTGGAGCCTGTCCTGGAACTAGCTCTTGTAGACCAGGCTGGCCTCGACTGGAACTCACAGAGATCCACCTGCCTCTGCCTCCCAAGTGCTGGGATTAAAGGCATGCGCCACTACCGCCGGGCAGAAGCCCCATCCTTGTGACACTGAGAGACAGCAATGCTGGTCTACAACTGGGAATCTGAGCCTGCCAGCCAAGCTCACAACTCCCTACTATATGACTTGTTCTCTGCACTTGGCTTTGAGTTAGGGGAGACTTATGCCAGAATCCCACTTGAAATTTTGGGGTTGACACAGCTACATATATGCTGAGCCAAGGGATACCCTCCAGCTGCTGCTCACTGCAGGATACAGGGGACACAAACAGCCACAGACTTGGCTCACTCACTGCAGCTGGGTTACTCCTCTACAACCTGTGTGCTCATGTTCAAACCTGTGCAACTAAAATGAGTAAATGAGAGCCTGTTGGTCCAAACTGAGAGCTCCAGCCACCCAACCTACAGCCCTGCCTATTGCCAACTGTAACCAGGGCCAAACATAGGGTACCTGTCTCGGCTCTGATCCCTGTAAAGTTCAACAGAGGAAACACTAGTGCTCACCTATGCCATGGCAGGCCTCAGGTCTCCAGAAGCGGCCCATATGCTCTGACCAATTCATCTTCCCACAATCTCCCCAGGTACACATATGCACACACAAACACACAGCATAAGGCCTTACACCACACAGTATGAGCAACATGGGTCCCAAGGAGCTGGCAGCCCAACCCTAGAAGCTGGGGCTACACCTAGGCTTCCATCAAGAGCCACCTGCAAAGCCAAGTCAGGCTCAACAGGGCCACCTGTGGGACAGCATCCAACCTTGCCCTCCCTGTCCCATTTGATCCCAAGAATCCCACACCACTATTCTAGCAAGACTGAAGTCTAGGAAAGCAACTGGTCTATGGTATTCAGGAAGGCTACAGAGCTGGGCAGTGGTAGCACACACATTTAATTCCAGCACTCAGGAGGCAGAGGCAGAGGCAGAGGCAGAGCCTGGTCTACAGAGCGAATTCCAGGATGGGCTCATGGCTACTGAGAAACCCTGCCTCAAAAAACAAAAAACAAACAAACAACAACAATAACAAAACGGCTATGGAGGCCTCAGGGCCACCCAGTCTGGCAGAAAAGAGTATGTTTTTAGGGACACGGTTCTGGGAAATCTGTCATGTCCTCTGCTTTGCCTTGCATTGGAGGAGGCAGAGCAGGAACACGCCTATCTACCAGCACCCTAGGGAAAAAAGTCTCTAATCATATGTCAACTTGTTCATTTTCCACACTCGTAGCCTCCACCCTAGGTTGTCTGTGGATATCCCAGGGTTCCAGTAATGAAACAACCATGTCCTCAGACCAAGGATTAAGTATCTGCCAAGGATTCACACCATCCCAGCAAACACAAACCATGGTAGAATAAGCAACTGGGGTAAGACACCAAAGGACCCCCAGAAAATAAATACTACATGCACCCTCGTGATGGTAATGGGCAGAGCAGACAACTCTAATGTTCAAGGTAGTCCTGTGGCCAGGAAGCCACCTAGGCTAACAGAAATGGGAGGAGGAAGAGAAGGGAGTGCGAGTGTGTATAGGTGGAACCAAGAGCACCAAGGCCACTGCCCTTGGTCTGTGACTGGTCTCCAGAATCATCCACCATCCTCTGAGTTCTGGGTGTGCTCAAGCCCACAAGGGCACCTGCTACAGACAGACTGATATGTGCTGAGAGATGGGGTAGGGGAACTAGCAACACCTCAAGGCTGCCCTGAGCTTGTCTTCAAGAAGCCTAGATATGGGCTAGAGAAATGGCACAGTGGTTAAGAGAACTGGCTGCTCTTCCAGAGGATTCAGGTTTGGTTCCCAGTAACAACATGGCAGCTCACAATCATCTATAACTCCATCTAATTCTAGGGGATCCAAAACCCTCTTCTGGTCTCCTCAGGCACAGATATACATGTAGACAAAACACCCATACACATAAAATTAAAAAAGAAAAAAAAAATCAGAAGCCTAGACATAGCCATAGGACTCTCCTGAAGGGACATCAAAATTTAGGCAGCAAGACCCTGACCACCCACATCAGGGAAGGCTCCACTTCTCCCTACCAGGGTCGGGCAGTAGCATTACTGTGTTGAGCTCTTACCTTATTGAGTTCTTCAATCCTGCGGATCAGGTATGGGTTGCTGGAGGAGTTCTCAAAGTAGACATAGTCTGCAAACAGAGAGGTCATCACTCATAGCACCAAGTCTCTTAGTCATTCCCACCATTCTTAGGACCCACAGAGAACTGACTGGGAACCTCAAGGAGACCCTCTAAGCCCTAGCCCCATACTGTTAGGGGTTGGAAGGCTGGGTTGGAGGAAGCAAAGTCCTACCCCATCAGAGCAGTGAACAGGCTGGGCCACATCACAGCTGTCAATGGGTTAGAGAGGGGCTGGGCTGTCCTGGGAGGAGTCTGCAGCCCTCAAACATCCTTCAGGAGCACAGGCCTTAGTGGGAAGCCTGTGAGGCCTGACTACAGCTTTCCCCAGAAAGCCCAATCCCTGCTCAAAACTACTGGACATCTTTCCAAGTAGCTGCTGCAGGCAAGAACAGTGTGTCTACCTTTCACCACCAAAGGCCCGGCTCAAAGATAGACACAAAGACTTTGAAAGCTGGCAAAGTCAGCCTGGACAGCTTAGATGACCCCACTACCACAATGCTCCAAGAATCCCAGTGCAGACAACATACTGCCATATGTTGGATTGTCATACTGCCAGGCCAGTGGAACCCCCTCCTTAGCTGAACTGACTAGAAGGTTACTCCTGTTGAAATGGCAAGAGTTAGCAACTGCAGTTCCCTGCTCCCAAGCAGGCACACACACACACTCGCAGGCCTGTCACCATATTGCTTCCTGAGCCTGTGCCACCTGCCAGTGGTAAGCCACATCCTTAGAACTCCAGCAGCTAGTACTCAGAGACATTCACACCAGGATGAAGGGTCTCCAGGGAAAAGCAAGGCCCAAGAGAAAGAAAGAGTACAGGATTGGAGAAAGTCTCTGGGCTTAGATTTTGGACCCTCCTGAGGCCCACCTTGTGAAAACACCCTGATGAACTTCATCATTGTGGATAATTTCTTAATAAAACTAGTTTTTTGTTTGTTTTTTTAAAGCATTGATGGTTCAGTGGTAGAATTCTTGCCCACCACACAGGAGGCCTCAGGTTTGATTCCCACTCAATGCAGAAATACACTTTGAGCCAGGAGGTGGTGGTGCATGCCTTTAATCCCAGTACTCGGAAGGCAGAGGAAGGTGGACCTCTGTGAGTTCGAGGCTAGCCTGGTCTACAGAGCAAGTTTCAGACAGCCAGAGCTATATGGAAAAATCCTATTTCAAATTTTTTTTTTAAAAAAAGGAAAAAAGGCATCCATAATCTAAACTTTCATGATTACAAATTATAGCAAATTAAGCCCCTAACACAAAATTATTTATACTTGGCCAAAAACTGGAATAAAATAAAATGTTTCCCAAGTAGAGAAGAGGCAAACAAGCAGAGCACCCTGGGATGACACGAGAGGCAGGTACTGAGGTAGCTCATCTCAGAGAAGCACAAGCACACACATCTAAGAACTAGGGCCAGGCACTGGTATGGGGATGGGTGGTGCCATGACAGGAGGGCTTGCTCATCACAGACAAGTTCACGTGCTACGTCTGTGGCAGCAGTAGCTGAACTACACACCTTTTCCAAACCTCAGAGGAGCCTGTCCAACAAGAATGAAGTATGCTAAGTGCGCACTAACATTACTAAGAAAATAAAGAAGACTCTAATAAAAACAAAAACCAATGTGAACTTAGACAAGAAAAAAATTAAAGAAAGTGTTTGATACCCAGTTACACACACACACACACACCATGAAAAGGTCTGGATGATAAAACTACAAACAGTATGTGGACTGGAGAGATGGCTCGGTGGTTAGTATGTAAAGTTCAACATCCACATGGAGTGACTGACAAACGCATGTAATTCCAGCTCAGGGAGCCGATGCCCTCTAATGGCCTCCACAGGTACTTGCACTTATGCACACACCCAACACATGGGCATATAACTGAACGGTAGGTACTGTAAGATGTGTCCTTGAACTACAACAGAGACTGGCACACATCTGCAGAGGTCCCGACAGCAGAATCTAGGCATGGAGGTTAGGTCTGAACTGAGTGCAATACACAGTAGGCACAACCAAACTTCCAAACGTTTAACTGATGAAATTACAAAGTACAGACCAATTAATGAGAAAACAAGTGGTTTGAGTGTGACAACAGCTCGGGGTATTGTGCTACTCATGCTCACGGCAATGCTGCCAAGGCTCAGACCTTGTAACTTTGGAAACAGTCTCTCAACAGGGTTGCAAACATGGGCTCTGTATGCAGATACTGATCTGAACAGATGCACTTGCTGTGGAGCTCACCATGTTCTTTTTAGGGGCCTGTTCTCCCAGGCTGTCCACAACCCTAGAATGTCTCCTTCCCAGACCCTGGCCATGCCAAACAGTCCCCCTTTAGGGGGCAGAGACTGAGTGATGAAGACGAACATATGACCAACCTGCCGTAACAGTCCTAGTTCCAAAGCCCATCTCCGGGTGTGTCTCCAGTCATTGGTAACCACATGCTGGCCTGCACACCTTCCTCTTCTGAGACCCAGCTAAAGTAACTGTTCAAGAGAGCTGCCATCTCATGAGCCTTTCTAGGAAGTACTGGTCCTGCCAGCAGTCTTGGGGAGTAGCCTGCTCTGCATAGCGAGGATCATAGTGCTGCCGAGGTGAGGGCTCCCAGCACAGACACGGGCTCCTGCCAGAGTGGCAACATGAGCTAGGAAATATTCCTGACCAGACCTTCCCATTTTATTTCCCCCTAGAAAGAGTGAACTTAATACAGATAAGCTCCTCCAATAAGTGCTTCGCAGCCTCGAGTGGTGTACTTTACAATAAATTAATAGCATTACCAGACATGCAGCAAAAACTAATTCTGAAAGTCATTCATTGTATTAATATTGGTCATTAAAAGTGGACTGTCTTGTTTGGGAATCTTCCACTCTGGTCCAAGCGTAAGTACTGGCAGCTACCATGCTGAGCTGTGCATTGAGCCAGATCACAATCTTAGCCTTCTGCTCCTGGCAATGTCCGCAGGCCCGTGGCCCACCAAGCCTTTGCCATCAGAAGCATGCTATCTGTGGCTCTGGCTCAATAAAGAGTGGTTGCCTTTCTGGCTCTTGTTTTTTTTTTTTTAACCAAGTTTCTTCATTTATCTAGTCCCACCAGTTTCTGTTCCATGCATCCTGCCTGTCATACATCTTAGCGATTCCTCTCCTGTCTGCACCATCAGTACTTTCCCAACTTCTCCCAGCTCACAGACTGTTCCACAGGTTTACACATCCTTAGCTGGCCAAGGACGAAGGAGCTCACTAAGGCTATACACTGACCTCCCCACTACCACCACCACAAACACACACCGGGCTCATTGCAAGCCTATTTCCTTCAGACCCTGTTCTGGAAGCTCTACGGCTAGTTCAAGTGCTCAGCTTCTCCATTCACGTCTTTCGGATCACTCAGAGATCTGTCTGCCTGCCTCTGCCTCCCAAGTGCTGGGATTAAAGGCCGAGCTGCCACCACCAGCCGGATCCTGATTTTCTGAGGAGGCTGACTTGGTGTGAGAGTCTCCCTTTAAATTTTCTAACTGTACTGACCATTCTGCTTCCTCAAGCTGAAGCCACTGTAACACCAACACACACTTCACTCCTTCCACATGGTACCAGCTGGATATTGAGTAGAGTGATCAAAGACTGATGGCACATTTAGCACTGCCTTAAAACCACCACTAGGCTCCCAATTCACACAAGCGTATCCACAGCACACACGCACTGAAGACGGTGTCTGTGGGACCTACAGTCATGTGGAGCACACATAAAAGCTACTGCTACTGTTAACAAAGGAAATACGTATTTGGTCTCTAGCCCCACTTCCTGACACATGGCTCCTAAAAACCCTGGGACCTTCAGAGAGATAAGAGCGTCCTTTTCATGTGCTACTACAAGATATGGGGTGTCTCCAAAGGACCACACCCAGAGAACCTGGTCCCTAGCTTGGCAATGTTGGGGTAGAACAGAGCAGATCTTCAGGCCACAGCAGGCAAGCCCCTGGAGGGAAGGGAGGGCCTGGGTTCCTTTCCTGTTTGGTTTTCTTGTAACGTTCCATGTCACCAGGAGATGCTCAGTTTTGTACCACCTTGCATTTCTACCCAAACACTCTATTCTGTCACAGGCCTAATGGCAAGGACAAAAGACAGAGACTGAAACCTCAGAAACTGTAAACCAAGATAAACCTTTCTTCCTTGTAAAGTGGTAGTCTCAAACTATGACAATAAAAAGTTGACTAACACAGAACACCGGGAGATTGTCATACTGGACAGGACACGGTGGGTTGGTTACACTGGAGGCTTTCCAAACTGCCCAGCACATCACAGGACACTGTGGGAAGGTTATATCAAAGGTTCTCCACTGCCCAGCACATCACAGGACACCATGGGAAGATTATACCGGAGGTTCTCCACTGCACAGCACATCACAGGAAACCGTGGGAAGGTTATACCGGAGGTTCTCCACTGCCCAGCACATCACAGGACACTGTGGGAAGGTTATACCGGAGGTTCTCCACTGCCCAGCACATCACAGGACACTGTGGGAAGGTTATACCGGAGGTTCTCCACTGCCCAGGACAGAGCTAACCACAGAAAGACCAAGCAGGATCAGAGGGTTCAGACTGTGGCTCTTCATCGGTATGCTTCCTTGTGTCCTTTGTAATGAGGCAACAAACACTGTGATTGCTCACTGTAAGCTGCTCCAGCCAATTAAATGAACCTGAACAGTATAGTGGGGGCCCTAACCCAAAGCTGCTGAGCCAGGAGCACAGGCCACAACCAGGGGCGCACACTGGCCTGTGAGTACAAGGGTCTGGAGGGGTGGAGCCTCAGCTACAAGGTCTGTGTTGTCTTCAGGAAGATGGCATCAGAGCTCTATTTAGTCACAACATAAGCAGCCAGTGATCCATACAGACCTGTATGGCTGCTGTTCTAAGAGCCCAATACCACCATGCTTGATGGCAGAGACACAGTGCTCTACTGTGCCTAAGGAGGAAAAGTTTACTGGTTGTAACTCAGAATCTGCCACAGAACATACATACATT